ACTTAACTTAATTTGTAACCTCAACTTAATTCATAATCAAAATATGTTTAATTTAAATAAAATCTTAAATTACATTACATGCATGGATTAAAAATCTAATTATAAAATCAAAACTTTATCTAGCATTAGGATTAATTCTAATTTTCCATAAACTTGATATTCATAAAACATTTCTTTTTTCTCTTCAAAATATGAGATTGAATTAATCCAAATCCTTCAAAATCCATGATGTATGTATCAATAGAGTACTAAACTTGTAAAATTTATTCATGCATGTAACAAATAGAACTTAATCTCATGCAAGGTTACAAAATTAGAGTCAAAATAATTGGTTACTAATTTAATTTTCATAAATTGAACATAACTTCATTTATTCATCATCTTGCTAACTTCATCTATTTATATGAAATTGAACTCAAGTTTAACAAATTTAAGAAATCATAATTCATACTCTTAGTCCTAACTTGATTTTACAAGCAAACCCAAATTTAATCTCATAAGTCTTTTTACACATGAATTAAATCTAAAACTTTGAAATTCTAACATACATGTAAGGATGAACCTCAAATTTATGAAGAATAATAAAAAATCAAACTCAAAATAATTAATTTCTAAATTAATTTCCATAATCATGAATCTAATTTAATTTCTTACTCAAAACCCAATTTCTTACAAACCCATGGAATTGGTTCCATAACTTTCTTAATTTTATCTTTTAACTAAATTATCTACAAAAAATTAAGACAAATATTTACCTAAAATTGTTGAATTCTTGAGCCTTCTTCCTAATTTTTTTTTTCTTCGCTTCCTCTTGCTTCCTCTCTTTTTCCTTTAGTTCATCTCTTGAGTTAGCTTCAGAATTTCCAGCAACCTGGGTTCTTGTTCACAAAGTTGAGCCCTCTCTCTCTCTCTCTTTCTCGGCTCTCTCTCTCCCTCTAGGCTTCTCACAGCATATATCCAAGAAATGCTAACCCAAACACTTTTTAACTCAATAGTTATACTCACACATGCACCTCTTGGCCATGGCACACGTATACGCACTTGCACTTTCTAGACAATCCTATAATTGAATCATAAACAGAATTAACTTAATACATAATTACTCATTAGCTCAATTAAGCACAACTTAGTCTTGATTAATCATAATTAGCACATAACTTAATTAATCATAACTAATCACAAATCTCACATAATTTAATTAGTCTAATTTGACTTCCTTTATAGCCCAATTAATTATATTTAAATTTATCAATCTGAATCAAATTTTTAATCAAACTTCCGAAAGGCTCCAAATATTAAATTAAATATACTATCATTATCAATTTTGATTTCCCAAATCATTTAAGCCTTCAATTTCTGATCGGACTTAAATTTCCATCAATAAATTACATATTCAAATTGGACATATCATAGTTAACTTTAATTTATAATAACCACAATTCTCAATCCTCGTAACTTAATCAACTCCAATTATGACCTAATTAATCGAGTCTCAATTTTACTAAACTGAATCGAATATTTAATTAAACTCCCAAATGGGTCCGTAATTAAAATTAAATTGATTCAACTTCTCAATTTTACTTCCTTAAGCCATTTGGACCCTTAATTTCTAATTTCAAAATAACTCTTTAATAGAATCATATATGAATCAGATCCCACAATTCTCATAAATCCCAAATTAAATTATAATACTCGGCAATTAAATTTCAAATTCTCTTAATTAATCAAGTATTAATCATTATACGTGATGGGGTCGTTACAATGGTCTTGGTGGATAATCTGCAAGAATCTGGCGAGTAGTAACTTCAGTAGTATTGGGTCAATGGTGGGCTGGGGAAGGAGTGAAGAAGAACTTATGGCAACTTTTACCTCAGGGGTGGAGGGAGTTCAAGTGGTATCATAAGAGTTTTTTTGTTGTATGTCCTCTGTTGTTTTTTTGCGGTTGGCTTCTCATCAACTTTGATGGCGTGCTAGCAAATGATAGGGCAGACTTATTGGTGTCAACCTAGTTGGGATTGGTTTGTTTCGTTTTGATACTCTTTGCACTCATCGTTTTTTTATTGGTGTAATACTCTTTTGGTTCATCAATAAATAAATAAAAAAAATTCTTTTGCTGATAAAAAAAAAAAAATAGTTTCACTTTAGTTCAAAACCACATAGAAATTTTTTGACCATATTTAAATCATAGGGGGTAAAATGCTTTTGCGTCGAACTATAAAGAAGTAAAATGAATTTTACCCTACATTTTTTATTTTATTTTATATAAAGGAATGAAAATATTAAGAATTGAATTCATTTTACTCTTTTAGGGTTTGAGGTCAAATCACTTTACCCCCTATTTGGTTTAAATATAGTAAACTTCCATGCGATTTTGAACCAAAATGCAACCGTTAACACCATTAACTATAGATATGAAATGATTGTAATACACTCAAATCTTAGATATATGTATGTATATATATATATTTGTTATTTTATTTCTCTCTCATCTTTCAAACACATAATTTACAATATCCAATATTAATTCAATTAAATCACAATTAATTATAAATTTTAATTATTTCTTGTAATTCTTAACTTTTTATTTTGACTTTGATTTAATTAAATTTTATGTCACAATTGATCTTAAATGTTTAATTATTTATTGTAATTCCTATATTTTAAATTTAATTATAATTTAATTAAATTTTCATAATTAATCCAAAATTTTAGTTATTTATTGTAATTTCTAACATGTTAATCTAATTTTACTTTAAATATATTTCAGATCAATTTTTAATTTTTAATTATTTTTAATTTTAATTTAATTATATTTTAAATCAATTCTTAATTATATTTTATATTTTATATTTTAGATCAATCATTAATTATATTTTTTTTGGTTTTGTTTTAATTAACATAATAATCTAATTTTAAGTTTGGAAAAAAAATGTGGGTGAAATCGTATTTTTGTTGTATTAATTTCATTTTTTTTTTTTTTAGAAAAACAAACCTACTCTAAAAAGCAGTGTGTATAATACACCTTCCGTTAGTTTGAATGAAAAAATTAACAATGATACCTTAGTCAAAATCTACATGAGAACTTTCTAAAATGCTTTAGCCTCCAAACCACAAGTGTAAAATAAATTTTAACCAAAATATTTAACCACTGTAATTATGCCACATAAAATAATGAATAAAATCTCTAGCCCACACCAATTGAATTGGAGGGTCCCATAATAGGTCCACCTCAAATCCATTACATTAATTTAAATTGTTTAATTTTTAGTCGTTTTTGACTAACTATTATGTACAAAAATATGATTTAATAGATTTTGATAATAACATATTTAAATCACATTTGTTTTAATTTTATTACATTTTTTAATATATATTTATTTTTTACTTTGATTTTTGATTTTCTGGTGGTGGTGGTGTAGTTGT